CACTCTTTTAATAACAATGCTATCGTCTTTCTTAAGTAAGTTTAACGCTTCACGTTCCACTCGTGTGAGATTAGGCTTNTCGTGTGTTATGGAAATGTTCACTGTTTGGCTATTCATACTAGCAAATGCTTTCAATATTTCAGGATGGATGGCGGCCTGAGGGGGTGTCCACGTGGATTTAGGAATAAACATTGTTCTAGCACCACGTGGGGGGTGGTTTCGAAAAAAATATGTGCAGCTAAGATTTCGTTGAAATCGTTCAATGGATGGTCGGAGATAATTCAAGTTAGCTATCTTTGGTGTGGGAATAAACTTAAGTCCACGGTCTAAGATTGAATGCTGAAGGGGTGTGAGAATTTTGCGGCTCAAGTTAACTACAGTTTGGCCTAGCGGTGGCCTCTCAGTATTTATATCCCCAGTAATTAGTTTAAAGACTTACTCGATTAAAGGAGGTCTTTGGTATCTGATCACGGTTGTTGAGGCCTACATGAAGAATAATGGTAGTAGGTTTGGGATCATGGTCGTATGATTCCAGGATTGACTGTATGTGATGGATTTGGGCACCGGGGTAAGAATGTATTTCGGTGTCCGAACTGGTTTTGGTAATTCGATTCAGGTTAGATGATCCAATTATTAAAGTTGATTTCTTTAGAGCAGGTAGTTTCCATAATGATTTGTCCTTGGTTTGGTGATAATACGGTTTGGTAGCGGATATAATGGTCGTCGACGGTGTGATTGGTACTGGTTTGGTAGTTAGAATTGTAGCATTGGGAACGGACTGGGATCTGGTTCGAGGAGGGGAAGGTCTGGATACATGTCTCGACTTGGATGGAGACTGAGGGGTGGTTTGCTGGTCCAAAAACGCACAGAAGGAAGAAAGGTTGGCGGATCCTGGATCACGTGGTGAAGATTCAGATGGTGTGGAAGGGGAAGACGAGTCTGAAAGTGAAAAGAGAAGGGGTGTGCCCTCTCTACGAGAGCGTTTACCTATGTCTGCTGGACTAGGAGTAGGTGAACTTCGGGCTCGTTTAGGGGTTTGGTTCGGCAGCGTGGTAGCTCTAGATGGTGCAGGTGTAGTGTCCATTTCAGTTGGTAGAGATATGGTTACTCTGGTTTTTGTTTCGTT